ATTGGCCTAAACAACCAAGATAAAATGAATCTAATTTACATACTTTCCACTACTATATAAGTTAATAAAGCGTTTCTTAGCAACATGAGGATGACACACAAGATATTCATTGTGCTTCTCTTTATTAGTAGCATAATTTAATCCCTCAATCTTTCCTAATACTTCGTCCGAAACATACCAAAAATGAATATCATTTACGGATCCGTTTAAAATAGTCTCTTTTTTGAAAAAAGTGTTGAAAAAGTGTTGAATACTCATATTAACATGATTATTGATTTAATTTAGGAACTGTATATAAATATGTTTGACCAAGTTTAATTGTTAATGAAAATGAACCCCAGCACTGGGCGCGCGCCGCGGCTTTGATGTTAGCGGCTACAAGCTAGGCAGCTGCAGAAAAATGCCGCGCGCGTTCAGAGTACGGCGTTTCGGTTTTTGATTTTACAAATGACGAAGCAACTTTTAATGATTATTAATGGAATTATCGGATATTTATAATTCAATATGTATTGATTCTTCTGTGGAAAATAAAAATTGTATTTTACTTTTAAAAATTGTATTTTACTTTTCAGTTACTGGGCTGCGCTCAACCTGTCATTCCGCCGAATCTTTATTCGATGTTGTTATGTTAATGAACACAATAGCCTGGGGTCCCCAGGTAACTTTTCAGCTGTGTCTTCCAGTCTTTCAATCATAAGTTTTGTGCTGTTGCTACTCAGTTGGTCGATTGATTTAAACATCTTCGTTGTTCGTCGACGTCCGACGAGCAACGAGAAAAATTGCGTGGCGCGTCGGGTGGCACATCTTAATGGGTGATACGCGTATAGTAAAACAAAATTTTAGTAAAACAAAATTTTTATTTACCACAAAACAATCAATACATATTTAATATTATTATACATTTACAAATAAATCTAAATTTAAATTCAGCTATATACACAATACACAGCCCGCCGCGCAGACAGCCACACATTGCTGAGAGATTCTCAAGTGCAGATGTAAGCGCCGCGCGCGCGAGGTTTGTAATCTTACAATTACATGTCACGATATATATTATAAATTTCAATCGCTGACGTACAGCGAGCAGCACAGCTGCGAGTGGCGTCAGCTAGTAGGATTTCATCCTACAAGGCACATCGCGTTCACCTACCTAACCAAGTGCTTTCGCGCCGCTGCGGACGCACTTGTTCCACAAGTCATCCGCCTCCGGCGGTCGCGCGCTACTGCAAGCGAGAGGGCTATAGTTAGAGCAACACATCGCACCACAAGCCAAATATTTATCAACATTTTGACTAGCTACGCGATCCTTTTCCGCATGCGCTCGCGCTTTGCTCAAGTTGCGCTTTGCTCAAGTTGCGCTCGCGTTAACTGCGTTAACGACCGAAATTTTCCCAATATGCAATAAATTTTTTGCTTCTAAAATTCTCTGATAATTAATAATATATCGTTACATGTAATTATTGTAAGATAAAAAACCTCGCGCGCGCGGCGCTTACATCTGCACCTGAGAATCTCTCAGCAATGTGTGGCTGTCTGCGCGGCGGGCTGAATTTAGATTTATATTTATTTATAAATGTATAATAATATTAAATATGTATTGGTTGTTTTGTGGTAAATAAAAATGTTGTTTTACTAAATTTTGTTTTACCTCTACATTTGAGCTTGTCTAATTTTTTGTCTCATTTGTCCAAAATTTTTGTCCCTTTTGTCCCTTTTGTCCCTTTTGTCCCTAGTATTGTCCATTTTGTCCATTTTGTCCACAAAACACTGTCCTTCACAAAAAATGTAAAAAAAGACAAAGACAAAGTGGACAAAATGGACAGTAATACCCCCCCCCTGTGCTGGATGGGCTGACCTCCCAATGTAAATGTTTCATGGGACTGCTTCTTTTTGGGAGGGCTGAATATGACAATCTTAGTTTTCTTTATATTTACTTCAAGGCCCATGGAGTTACAGAAGTCAGATAGAATGTTGATATTGACTTGCAAGGCCTTGGGACTTAGAGCAAGAAGGACAAGATCGTCAGCCCAGAGCAGATGTGATATTAGAACGTCAGCAAGAACTGGATAATCACCAACAGATTTCAGAAGAGATGACAAGTTATTAATATAGATTTTAAAAAGGTCTGGTGATAGGGGGTGTCCTTGCTCCGTTCCTTTGCCAATATCAATTTTAGGGGACAAGAGTTTGGAGATTTTTATATGAGCAATTGAGTTTTTGTACATATCACTTAAGCAGTTAAAGAAGTTACCGGTAATTCCAAGGCATGTTATTTTGTGCAGAAGAAGGTCCCTACATACAGTGTCAAAGGCCTTTCTTAGATCAACAAAGCATGCATAGAGACGAGCTTTTTTAACTTTAGTGTATTTATCAATGACTGTCTTAAGGGTGAAAACAGAAGTCAGATAGAATGTTGATATTGACTTGCAAGGCCTTGGGACTTAGAGCAAGAAGGACAAGATCGTCAGCCCAGAGCAGATGTGATATTAGAACGTCAGCAAGAACTGGATAATCACCAACAGATTTCAGAAGAGATGACAAGTTATTAATATAGATTTTAAAAAGGTCTGGTGATAGGGGGTGTCCTTGCTCCGTTCCTTTGCCAATATCAATTTTAGGGGACAAGAGTTTGGAGATTTTTATATGAGCAATTGAGTTTTTGTACATATCACTTAAGCAGTTAAAGAAGTTACCGGTAATTCCAAGGCATGTTATTTTGTGCAGAAGAAGGTCCCTACATACAGTGTCAAAGGCCTTTCTTAGATCAACAAAGCATGCATAGAGACGAGCTTTTTTAACTTTAGTGTATTTATCAATGACTGTCTTAAGGGTGAAAACGTGATCATTAGTTTGGTAATGTTAATAAATTGTAATTGATTGATCTGTAATATTTAGGCCCGTGGCCAGTTTTCACATATTCTTTTTATTTATGGGCTAACCAGGCTAAACCTTTTTATAAAAACAAAATCCTTCTTTCAATACAGTCAAAATAGTCGTACTGCATCGATATATAATAGTTTAGGGAAACAAACTCCCCAACCATCCTGCATACGGGAGTCCATCGATGAGAGGATATGTCGGGCATAATGTGACAATTTTTAATGTACAAGACCTCGACATCACCAAAAGAGGGCACAAAAAGCAACAAAACAAATTTTAAGGACATTTCATAATTTATAATGTACCACAAGGTGTACTGACAAATCCATTGAATTATAAATGGACACGGAACCACGATTTTTACCTTTGTTCACCAAAAAATTATCTGCTAACTGTTTCATCCCGATGGTGACTAGATTTTTGGGTTAGATTTTTTCCGTTCACACTCTTTTGTAAAAAGACAATAGTGAAAGGTTACGAATGGACGTTTTTGTAGAAAAACGTGGATTTTGGAGAACGAGGTAGGTGGGTTTAAATATGTCTTCAGTCCTTCCATCCTTCCGTTAGTAACCATGTTAACTTGCCGCGCACATGTGCGCGAGTATTGCTTGCGGTGATGTATCTAGCTAGCATGTCAATGAATGGGCGGCGCGAGTGTATTTTAATGAATACTATGTTATGTATAGTATTACTATTAGGCAATAAGCCCAATTTGTAAGTGGCATGCGTAGTATAGTTTACTCTGTGTATATAATTATTATTATTTATTCCCATATCCAAAAACCCGCGTTCTCGCATTCTAAGAATGTAGGAAATTTTTAAAAGTAGGAAATTTTTGACAAAAAGTAGAAAATTCGAGAGCCAACTCTGAGAATTTTCGATCATATTTCAGTAGGAATTTAAGTGAAAGAGCAGACTAAAAGTTGCTGGACCGTTATTTAAATGTCCTCAGTCTCATACTTGCTTCCTTCTCCAAATTCCCTTAACCCTGTATTATTTTATAGCTTGAAAGCAGAAAGTGATGGTAGTAGATGAGAAAACATTTTTGCCAAAATTATAAACTCTTGATACTTCATGCTGTCTCCTATTTCGTGCTTTAGTTAAGCCAAGTGTTTAGGGATTCTAGAATCCAGACAATTTATCCCAATAAAAATTGAAATCAGAAAATAGTATGCTAAAATCGTTCTCCATTGTCAGATTCGTTCCAGGAGGCCAAATCTAGTTTAAATTTCCAAAATTTTCGGGGGCTTCGCCCCCAAAAGTAACCTAGGATTATCTATTAAAAAGCATTCCGGGCCCTAAAAAAGTAAAATTGAGAATCTGGAATCCGCCATGAAAAATCTTTGAAACGCGCGAATACAAAGACTTTTTATGCGAGCGAAGCGAGTGGGCCACAGAAAACGAAAAAATTGAGAATGTAGGAAATTCAAAATTTTTTGGATATGGGATTATTATTGAAGTGAGCTGATATTAAAAATAGAGCTTATATTTATAGTTATAGTGAATGGAAATCTAGCGTCCGCCAAAACGAAACAACGGGCGCAATTCTTGTTTGTTTACAAATGTAACCTCAATTGATGTATTTCTGGATTCTGGTTCTGAATCCCCCCTCAGTGGTTCAAATAAAGTAAGGTAAAGTACAGATGAGAGCAATCTTGCATTACTTGCTGTAACGGGTGCAGTGAATCGTCCATTTTTTGAAAACCTACGAGATGAATTAACAATTGTTTACTGTAAAATATTCAAATAATATACACATTATAGCATAAAAATTCAATATAAAAATTCAATAAAAATCTTAGTAAATTTTATAAAAACCCTTTAAGTAGTAAAAGTAGCCAATTCAATTTGTTGGCTATAAATTTATATCTAAATCTGATATTTTAACTGCACTACCACTTTTTTTCTAGACATTCTATCAGCTAACTTTTTGAAAAAAGTATTTGCTTCTCTTCCCATTCCACCTGTTGTTGATACTGTAATAACTTCGCTATTAAAGTACACATTTAACTTTATAAATTTTGTTCTGTGAATGAAGCCTTTGGTCTACAAGCTCAATTGGTTAAATCTCGGCTCACCTTCCCCAAATTATATATTGAGTTTTCACACTTTTTTAATTCCAGGAGCAATGTCAAAATCGGCAGTAACTAGGGTTGCTCTTGGAACCATGGAAATGGGAAAACGGATGAACTTTGAAGATAGTGAAGCCTTTCTCAAAAAGTTTCAGGAGTATGGGCATACTGAATTAGACACAGCCTACATGTATGCTGGCGGAGCAGATGGAGGTACAAATGGGGGACTCACTGAGGAGTTTATGGGTAATATTGATACTGTAAATGGTTTAAATGTTGCAACAAAAGTAAATCCAGCTGGTGGCAAAACGTTGTCTCCGAAAAGTGTCAGGCATCAACTTGAGACATCTATAAAAAAGTTAAATACTGAGTGTGTTGATTTGTTCTATTTACATTGGCCCTGCATGGATGTTAATATCGAGGATACTCTTTGCGAAGTCAACAATCTCCACAAGGAAGGGAAATTCCAGAGATTCGGTCTGTCTAATTTCATATCATGGCAAGTGGCTGAAGTTCAGCAAATCTGCATACACAATGGGTACATTCAACCAACTGTATATCAGGGAATGTACAACTGTCTCACAAGGCTGGTAGAAAAAGAACTGTTCCCGTGTCTTCAAAAGTATGGAATGAGCTTCTATTGCTACAATCCTCTGGCTGGTGGTCTACTTACCGGTAAACACATTAGAGATGACAATCCAGAGAATGTGAGCGAACCAGGAAGATTTGCAGGAAAGGCATGGGGAAAAGCTTACAGAGATAGATTCTGGAGAGATAAGTATTTTGATGCTCTTGATATCATACAAGATGCCTGTAAAAAGGAAGGAGTTGCTGTAACATCTGCAGCGTTGAGGTGGGTCACACACCACTCTGCTTTATCAGGAGACAATAATGATGCTATTATTGTGGGTGCAAGTAATATCTCTCATTTGGTTTCTAATCTTGATTTTTTGAAAGAGGGACCACTTCCAGTTTCGGTGGTTGATGCTATTGAGCAGGGGCATGAGCTTACAAAAGGCCATGGTCCCAACTATTTTAGAAACGTCAGCATGCCACATACTGTATGAAGTGCTAAGTATGATGATGATAAGTTTAAGATGTATGCTATGTCAAGAAATATGAAATCATATTGATAAAAGAGAAGATGATTCGATTGGTTTGTTCAAAAGTTTTATTCTGTTTTAAAGATGGTATGCCATTGTTTTATATGCTATTTTTTAGCTGAAAATTTGTAAAAATATTATTTTTTCCTAATCTTTGATGTTTTATTGCGGGTAAATTATTTTTTCCTTAGAACAATAATTTGCAAGTGATTGTTAGCAAATTTGAAGCTAGGAAAATTTTCATACACATTCTGGTAGATTTAGTGTTTTGAGTTTCACCACTATTAAAATTGCTCAACTCACTGATCATGAAAATTTTATTGAAACGAATATTTTAACGCTATGTTATGTTTACCAAAGATTCTGTGCAGCTGTTGAAAATGTTGAGAAGCTCTGTCTCAAGAATTGTACTGGGTACAATGGAAATGGGTAGACGCATGAACCTAGAGGAGAGCACAGAATTTCTTAGAAAGTTTGAAGAATATGGCCACAGCCAACTTGACTCAGCTTATATGTACGCCAGTGAGGGCGGTGGTGGGACAACTGGGGGTCTCACAGAAATGTACCTCGGTAAAATGAACACTGCCCATGGTTCAAATATTTCAACCAAGGCTAATCCTGGTGGTGGTAAGACATTTTCCCCTGAAAGTGTTCGACACCAATTAGAAACTTCTCTGATAAACCTAAACACTGAACAGGTGGATATCTTCTATTTGCACTGGCCATGCATGGATATCGACATTGAAGATACCTTGAGTGAAATAAACAAACTCTACAACGAGGGAAAATTCAAGAGGTTTGGATTGTCCAATTTTATCTCATGGCAAATCACAGAGGTTCAACAGATCTGTAAACACAATGGCTATGTGACACCTTCAGTATACCAAGGAATGTACAACTGCCTCACTAGAATGGTTGAGACAGAATTGCTGCCATGTCTAAGAAGATATGAAATGAGCTTCTACTGCTACAACCCACTTGCTGGAGGCATTCTAACTGGCAAGCACAGCCGAGATGACCGACCTCAGGATAAAACTGAGCTGGGAAGGTTTACTGGAAGTTCCTGGGGCCCTTCTTACAGAGACCGGTTCTGGCGTGGAAAATACTTTGACGCTCTTGAGATTATCCAGGAGGAATGCCAAAAGGAGGAGGTGGCTGTTCACTCTGCGGCTTTAAGGTGGTTAGCTCATCACTCTGCTCTGTCAGATGATAACGATGATGGGATCATAGTTGGGAGTAGTAGTATTGCAAATTTGGTTTCCAACATGGATGCATTAAATGTAGGACCTTTACCAATGTCAGTTGTCGATGCTATCGAACATGGATATGACATCACAAAGGGTCATGGACCAAATTATTTCAGGAATGTCGGTGTTAGGCATTCGACATATTAAATTAAATAGAGGTGATTAAGTTATTAATGTTTAGCAGTATGTTTTTGTCTTTAGAACGGAGGTCAAAGTAAAATGATTTATTTTCTGTTGTCAATACATTTTATCGATATTATAAAATTATTGTTTTTCCATCAGACTGATTTTATCTTTTTAGTTTTTAATTTTTATAGATTTTGTAATTTGTTAACCTTTTAAACGACATTTTAAAACATCAACAGGACCCTTGCAAATTCTGGCACTGAGCGAGATTTTTTTCCAGTTAAAACTAGATCCTGAGATTGTTACTATTGATTTTTGTTGTGATTATATTTTGTTTTATGTATAGCTGTGTTTATAATTCCATGCTACTCATAATAATAATAATATTATGCAACATAACATACAAAATCACATGATATTAGTGCCAACATTTTTACTAAACAGTTTACTGTCTGTCTGAAGCCGTATATTCAGATTATGTATGAAATTACAAATGATTCATAAAATAACACTGTAACTTTCTGCACAACAAACAGTATTAATAACCACACTCTCCTCTTATATAGCCAACAATGGAGACTTTGTTCGGCCTCCCATTTAAACTGCTGGAGATCCCTCCAATGAGGCTGAAAAAGCCCAGTTTCATTGCCATGCCCAGTGCGATGATGGTGTACGGAATGATCCTAGTTTCTTACTTCCTAGTGCTGGGAGGTGTTATCTACGATATTATCATTGAGCCTCCAAGTATCGGACAGGTGGGTTATCTTTGGTTTTCAAGCATATTTTATCTTTTATTTATTTTTTATTGAGATATGATTGTTTAGATACCACATTTCTCATTCACAACTTCAAAGCTCTATATCTCGCAACATCACGAATTTACCATAACAACAATATTTGAAAAGTTGACTGAAATCATACTTGTAAAGTCCCTGTAAGAACCAAAAGATTTGGGCGACCTTTTAAAAATGAAATCATAAATAAAGCTACCTCTAAGTACTATCGCTTACAACATCTTGACTGCACCTTGCACGATAACACCATTAGATATCTCACTGACACGTTTACTGCAGGTTACAGACGAGAGAGGTAACCCTCGGCCAGTAGCGTTTCTAGCGTACAGAGTTAACGGTCAGTACATCATGGAGGGACTTGCCAGTAGTTTCCTCTTTGTTATGGGGAGTCTGGGATTTGTTGTACTGGATAAAGCTAATGGAGCTAAGTGAGTTGATGGCTACTTTTTCTGTTGCTTGAGTAATTTTAGCTATTGTTATTTTGGTGTAAGCTTGATTAACTTAGAATATTAACATGGTAGTTTTCATGATTCTGCTGACTTTCAACTCTTCGAATTCCTTCCTTTCGTTTAAAACCATTTGTTCAATTAAATTAAAATTTAAACCATTTGTTTAATTAAATTAAAATTAATTAACAAATTTACAATTACACCCTCCTCAGTTTACCTAAGCTGAACAGATTTATAATGCTGTTTCTGGGACTCTTCATGGTCGTTGTCTCTTTCTTCCTTTGCCGACTCTTCATGACGATGAAACTACCTGGATACCTCAAGAATTAGATAATATATATATCGTGATTAAAATGATACTGACATATATGCATAACTTGGTCGTTGCTATGATTATCCTAGTTTGTCTGAAAATAAAGGGACATTGTAAGGCCATATAATAAGTGCATGATTAAAATGACCTTGCTATCAGATTGAAGGAACACGGTAGCGTCAAATCAAGCCTAGCTTCAAGTTTAACTTTGTATTGATATGTTATATACTTTTATGTAAATTTATTTTGAGAATGATAGTTTTTGAGATTAAAATTTTTGTTTACATGACATGTGTGTCTTTTGATAGGCTTTAATTCGTGATGCCAAATTTTTTATTTTTTTTATTTTCTGTGATTTATTCCTCGTGATCATTGAAAAAATTGGTATATTGTGTAACCAATTGATGAATATGTTAGTTGATATTTTACGGACAGCACATTTTAATAATTTCTCCCTGTAGCATAGCAAGACCTTAGACCAGATAACAGTTCGACCAACATTCCAGCAGAAGCAACTTACCACTAAGACACTAACACCAGCAACAATGTTGTTAAGGTTGTTAATCAGCTTAGCGCTGTTCGCAACAGTGTCCTCCACTTCCTTGATCTCTCTCGATTTGGGCACTGAATTCATGAAGGTACGTCTAAAAATGTTTGTGTAATAATCAAGTAATTTTAACGTTTGATATTAAATCATGCGTTTGTCGTTTGAGTAATCCATACTTTTATACGAATAAAAACATTTTTGTCGGGAGATGAACTTAAAATCGAATCACACTTTTTCAGATAGGAATTGTAAAGCCTGGAGTACCCATAGACATTGTGTTAAACACCGAAACCAAACGCAAAACTCCAATGACAGTCTACATTAAGGGTGACGAACGGTTATTTGGTGATACCGCTGTAACCAGGGTAAATATAAAATATTTTAGCACTTATTAATTATTTGGTTTTTTGGACCCCGAGGGAAATCAAAAATTGGTCACGAGTTGGACTTTCTGTACCAAACTGTACCATGGTACAATATTTGACGAAAGTCAATTATCTTGAGATCCTACTGATAAATTTTCTTTAAACTTTCCAGATAGTTGTATGGCTATAGGACGGATAATCTGAGCAAGTTTGGGGGAATTTCTATGTGCCAAACCTGAGATATGAGTTCAAACACAAGAAAATATCTCAAATTGGTACAATATTTGACGAAAGTCAATTATCTTGAGATCCTACTGATAAATTTTCTTTAAACTTTCCAGATAGTTGTATGGTTATGAGACGGATAATCTGAGCAAGTTTGGGCGAATTTCTATGTGCCAAACTTGAGATATGACTTCAAACACAAGAAAATATCTCAAATTGGTACAATATTTGACGAAAGTCAATTATCTTGAGATCCTACTGATAAATTTTCTTTAAACTTTCCAGATAGTTGTATGGCTATGAGACGGATAATCTGAGCAAGTTTGGGCGAATTTCTATGTGCCAAACTTGAGATATGACTTCAAACACAAGAAAATATCTCAAATTGGTACAATATTTGACGAAAGTCAATTATCTTGAGATCCTACAGATAAATTTACTTTAAACTTTCCAGATAGTTGTATGGCTATAGGACGGATAATCTGAGCAAGTTTGGGCGAATTTCTATGTGCCAAACCTGAGATATGACTTCAAACACAAGAAAATATCTCAAATTGGTACAATATTTGACGAAAGTCAATTATCTTGAGATCCTATTGATAAATTGTCTTTAAACTTTCCAGATAGTTGTATGGCTATAGGACGGATAATCTGAGCAAGTTTGGGCGAATTTCTATGTGCCAAACCTGAGATATGACTTCAAACACAAGAAAATATCTCAAATTGGTACAATATTTGACGAAAGTCAATTATCTTGAGATCCTATTGATAAATTGTCTTTAAACTTTCCAGATAGTTGTATGGCTATAGGACGGATAATCTGAGCAAGTTTGGGGGAATTTCTATGTGCCAAACCTGAGATATGAGTGAATCAAATACAAGAAAATATCTCAAATTGTTACAATATTTGACGAAAGTCAATTATCTTGAGATCCTACTGATAAATTTTCTTTAAACTTTCCAGATAGTTGTATGGTTATGAGACGGATAATCTGAGCAAGTTTGGGCGAATTTCTATGTACCAAACTTGAGATATGACTTCAAACACAAGAAAATATCTCAAATTGGTACAATATTTGACGAAAGTCAATTATCTTGAGATCCTACTGATAAATTTTCTTTAAACTTTCCAGATAGTTGTATGGTTATGAGACGGATAATCTGAGCAAGTTTGGGCGAATTTCTATGTGCCAAACTTGAGATATGACTTCAAACACAAGAAAATATCTCAAATTAGCGGTTTCTAGCGGAACGCAGGTACAAATTTCGAGATCCTACTGATAAATTTTCTTTAAACTTTCCAGATAGTTGTATGGTTATGAGACGGATAATCTGAGCAAGTTTGGGCGAATTTCTATTTGCCAAACTTGAGATATGACTTCAAACACAAGAAAATATCTCAAATTGGTACAATATTTGACGAAAGTCAATTATATTGAGATCCTACTGATAAACAAAAATGTTGTGAAAAAATGTTGTGAAAAAATGTTGTGAAAAAATGGAAAAAACATTTAGATGCTTCCTCCTCCTCCTCCTCTTCCTCCTCCTCCTCCTCCTCCTCCCCCTCCTCCTTCTCCTCCTCCTCCTCCTCCTCTCCCTCATGCCCCTCCTCCTCCTCCTCCTCTTCCTCCTCCTCCTCAGTCTTCCTCCTCCTCAGTCATCATCCTCCTCCTCCTCCTCATTCATCCTCCTCCTCCTCCTCCTCCTTTTCCTCCTCCTCCTCTTACTCCTCATCAGTCCTCCTCCTCTTCCTCCTCTTCCTCCTCCTCCTCCTCCTCAGTCCTCCTCAGTCATCCTTCTCCTCTTCCTCCTCATCAGTCCTTCTTCTCCTCCTCTTCCCCCTCCTCAGTCTTCCTCATCCTCCTCATCCTTCTCCTCCTCCTCGTCAGTCCTCCCCTTCCTCCTCCTTCCCCTTCTCAGTCCTCCTCTTCCAGTCCTCCTCCTTCTCCTCCTCATCCTCCTCTCCCTCCTCTCCCTCATCTCCCTCATCCCCTCTTCCTCCTCCTCCTCAGTCCTACTCCTCTTCCTCCTCCTCCTCCTCAGTCCTTCTAAGTAATACTCCTCTTCCTCCTCCTCCTCCTCAGTCCTCCTGAGTCCTCCTCCTGAGTCTTCCTCATCCTCCTCAGTCCTCCTACTTCTGAGTCCCCCTGAGTCCTCTTCCTCCTCATCCTCATCCTCATCCTCCTCATCCTGTGTTCTCATCCTCCTCCTCCTCCTGAGTCCTCCCGAGTCCATCTCCTCCTGAGTCTTCCTCCATCTGAGTCCTCCTGATTCCTCCTCCTCCTGAGTTATCCACCTCCTCCACATCCTCCACTTCCTCCTCCTCTTCAGTCCTCCTACTCCTCCTTCTGAGTCCACCTCCTCCAATACCTCCTCCTCCTCCTCAGTCTTCCTCAGTCCTCCTCCTCAGTACTCCTCCTTCTCCTCCTCCTCCTTACCTCCTATAGCCATGTAACTATCTGGAAAGTTTTGAAAAATTCTATCATTTAGATCTCCAAAATATATTTGCCTTTGTTCCGCTAAAAACCGCCAATTTGGAGATATTTTCTTGTGTTTGAAGTCATATCTCAAGTTCGGCACATAGAAATTCGCCCAAAATCGCACAGATTATCCGTCTCATAGCCATACAACTATCTAGAAAGTTTAAAGAAAATTTATCGGTAGGATCTCGAAATATGTGCCTGTGTTCCGTTAGAAACCGCCAATTTGTAATATTTTCTTGTGTTTGAAGTCATATCTTAGGTTTGGCACACAGAAACTCGCCCAAAATCGCACAGAATATCTTTCTCATAGTCATACAACTATCCGGAAAGTTTAAAGAAAATTTATCAGTAGGATCTTGAAGTATGTGCCTGTGTTCCGTTAGAAACCGCCAATTTGTGATATTTTCTTGTGTTTGAAGTCATATCTTAGGTTTGGCACACAGAAACTCGCCCAAAATCGCACAGAATATCTTTCTCATAGTCATACAACTATCCGGAAAGTTTAAAGAAAATTTATCAGTAGGATCTTGAAGTATGTGCCTGTGTTCCGTTAGAAACCGCCAATTTGTGATATTTTCTTGTGTTTGAAGTCATATCTTAGGTTTGGCACATAGAAACTCGCCCAAAATCGCACAGAATATCTGTCTCATAGTCATACAACTATCTGGAAAGTTTAAAGAAAATTTATCAGTAGGATCTTGAAGTATGTGCCTGCGTTCCGCTAGAAACCGCAAATTTGTGATATTTTCTTGTGTTTGAAGTCATATCTTAGGTTTTGCACATAGAAACTCGCCCAAAATCGCGCAGAATATCTTTATCATAGTCATACAACTATCTGGAAAGTTTAAAGAAAATCTATTGGTCAGATCTTGAGAAAATCGAAAATATATTCTAAGTTATTCACTAAAACACTCGATTCTCGACCAATCCATATGGTACAGTTTTGTCGAAAGTCCTTCTGTTGGTCACGGAAAAACTGAACTTTATGTAAGCCGCATGGTTTCGCGTACATAGCAAAAATCCATCCTCATAAGTAAATTAGCGCGCGCAATGCGCGTTAATAGATCTTGAACGTGGCACAGTCTCCAATGGACCCGTAGTAAACTTCTGTACAATTAAATCGTACAGTGGTATGACGCAAAGACTTACGTACTACGTCGTACATCATGATAATGAACTTCTGATTTGTTTAATAAACAGCTGGTAACTATTACTGGTAGTAACTTTTGTAAAGAGTCTCATGATTTATTCCGGAATCCGGGTATTCACAATCTTGAATTTATCCAAATAAACGTTACGGCGACAGGTGTTGGCGCAAATAATGGTCGAAAGTGTAAACAACAATTTTTAACACAACTCATTTTCAGGGAGAAAAATCACCGAAGAACGCGTATTCTAACCTGTTAGATCTACTCGGTAAATCTATAGATAACCCAGTGGTCACTGAGTATAAAGAAAGGTAAACATTCAAGTTATCAAAAATTAATTTCTGTATTGATTATTGAAACTACACCGTATCTCCTTTAAGTTTTTCTCATTAAGTTAGCATACTATCCAAATAACATCCAAATAACACCAATGTTAATTGTACAGGTTTCCCTATCATACGATAGAAGCTGATCCAGTGAGAAATACAGTAGTGTTCCGACACGACGACAATACATTTTACAGTGTTGAGGAGTTACTGGCAATGCAAGTAAGGAACTATGCAAGCAATTAGCATCTGGATAAAATTTAACAAACTAATACAGTTTACCCTCACTAATTTTACCCTTATATATTCATGGGAGAATACAACATACCTTAACATTAGATTCAGCTTTCACGCATCACTTCTTGTACATTTCTTGTACATTTCTTGTACATTTCTTGTACATTTTTGCCAGGATCAATGTACCTTCTCCAAGTACAGATAACAGTCTGTAACTAAAAACCCCGCAGATAGAGTTTGCGGTGCTGCTCGCTACAAAACACGGGGAAGCTCCAGTCAGTAAAGTTATAATCTGCGTTCCTCCTTTCTTCAATCAGAAGGAAAGGGAAGCTATGCTCAAGTAAGTTTTACAATTGGTTTATTAATTGATAAATAATAATATATCATCATGGTTCACCAGGCAAGTCAGATGGCATCTTGGGTTCTTGGATCATTCAAAGACAGGATAAAACCTGTTATGCTCCAGCTCTACAAATCCCTGATTAAGTCACCTCCCCACCACAATCCACATCTTGCCCGGGACAAACAGGGTAGTATTTGTTGTGGCAAATATAGCTTACATTTCCATTTTGCCCTTCTCTTTGTTGGGAAAAAGGTGCCCTTCCTTTATTCCTTAGTATGACAGCGATTCAACAATCCAGCATTGACTGATCAATCCTTAGAATTACTGTCATGTGTCAAAACAAGTATGCTTCATCTCCCCACCAGAATCCGTGTCTCTTTAAGTTTAACTCAATAAAATAACACCGTGACAGTAAAGAAAATGGATGAATGACCAAGAAGTGTGCAACCACTTTAGTTTGGGGACTTTGGTAAAATAACAATACCTTGAGCAGCAAGCTATTAATACCGCTTTAAATATCATCCTTCGATCAAAAATACTATAATCTATGGAGTTTGTGGGTCTGGCGTTAGGGTATTCATCTTTACCAAGAGGTTAGAGGTTAGAGGTTAGAGGTTAGAGGTTAGAGGTTAGAGGTTAGAGGTTAGAGGTTAGAGGTTAGAGGTTAGAGGTTAGAGGTTAGAGGGTAGATGTAAGTGGGGAGGCTAACTTAAGTTGACGATAAATTGAGTTTAATGGCATCTGTACAGATATATTTTATCGTAGATATAGGTATGACTTGTTATATTTAGCCGGTTGGCATGTTGCCAAGTTTAAGATTCGGAATTGTAGACTAATAAAGCAATTTTATTTTTAATTCTTTTAAAAAATAAAAACGGGTTAAATTTCTTTACAAGATTGAAATAATTAAACATGCGCATTTGAAAATAATTAAAAGTAACAATTATTAACATTATCCAAATCCCTCAAATTACAAAATTGATAAACATCAACATGTCTTTACTTTACTGAACTAAAAGAAATATGACCGACTGCAAGAGACATATAATAAGGAGATGGTTCATTCCCAATCCGAACCCTGCAGCAGAGTTGCACAGATCATAGTTACATGAACTACAGTATGGAAGTGCCCCACAGCCAGTCCCACAAGAGTAAGTTTTGATGCCCAGACCTAGAGTGTCGATAGTAAGGCATTTTCCAAAGTTGCTAGCACAGTGTATATCTACAGCAGCACCACCAATACCGACCTTACATTTGATAGCAGCAGACATTCCCACCAATACAGCCAATAACAGGAACACTTTCATAGGGTTCATTTCTTTCAGTTCGCTAATAAGAAAATGTTGGGTTAAGTAAGGGGGAACTAACGAGCCTGATAACCTCGCTTGATATTAGAGTCCTGTTTAAACGCCGTATTGTAAAGGATAACGCGGTGATAAACTAGAAATGTACGCATTTATAGTTTTTTTAAAGAGCAAGCAGAATGGATCCCTATTGGATTTAATCCCTGAAGGAATGAATCACTACTGGAAATCTGTCCATCAAACGAACTCTTTTCACACCGGGCTGAAGACCTGACCTTTACAACTGCAACGGTTCAGAAACATACGATTCGGTAACGGGAGCCGGTCAAAAATTGTGCGTAACTTTATATGTAAGATAAACAATATGCAGGTTAAATCGTTTCAAGTGTCTTGGAATGTAGATAATATAGTAGATTAGATTAGAAAAGTTCTTAAATTAAAGTTAAATTGTTAATCTTACAAAAGCAACATTATATACATTTAATTTTAAATGAGAAGCTAATTGTTAGGTATGTGCCACGATCTTAGTAAAAAGTTTATGTATCCCTTAATGAGAAGAAGTTAAACAAATGACCCTCCAGTGTAGCGGAAATAGCTGGAGTCCAAGTAATGCAGTTGATGACAACAACCTCAGCTATATCACTGCAATATGCAGTCTTCAGAAACATCAAAATGACTGAAAAGCCCATGGTAAGTAAAACATTGAACACAAAAAGAGTTTTCATACTGGACTGTGCGTTGGCAGGCAATATATTCCTTTCTCTTCTCGCTCGGATATTATGTTTAATGTTGCGGGTTTTTATGAGCTTGGTTCATGTGCGTAGTATCTATTTTGGATAATAACTCATCTCATATTGCCTGGCAAATATAATACCTAACTACTTAACTTTATTGAGCAGTTACGTAAACTTTACATAAAAAGTCATTTATTTTAGGGATAGATATTAGATTGGACTTGGGCGTTGTTTTTAACTATCCCTTGTTAAGAACTTTTAATTAATAATAACATCAGTACATTTTATACTTGTAATAACTTTATTAATAATAACTTAACTACATTTTGTCCTCCCCAGATCGTATTATTCGCGACCGTAGGATCTCAGTTTACCACAGCTGCTGTTGTCAGTTACTCCCAAGTCAAGGACAAAGTCACCAAGGAGTTGGTAAATACTGTACAAGTCATGGGAGTTGGGTAATTATAATATTTATTTACTTTTGCTTTTACTTTTACTTTTATTTGTTTAGCAATTTGATAATTTCTTGTGAATATTAAATATTTTGTTGTCCTACTTTATCATGCATATAATATATCAGCCGTTCTATTTTTTTATAATCTTAAAAAAGGTCGTTACAGTGAACAAAATGTATACATAACTGGACCACTGGTGCACAACGTTTTATTCAGAGTCAAATTTTCTTGAAGCAAGATATCAGTTAACTTCGTCAATGGTCATCTCCGTTTCGCAACCCGATATATTTAAAGGGAGGGAGGGGCGAGGCAATGAGAAAAATATAAGAACTGAAGAATTATCCGTCAGTTCTGAGAGTTTTTGTTTGGTTCATAATACAACGTGGTTTCAGGTATGACAGAGGTCTGGGATCATATGAAATGGATCTGAGACTGAGGGAGCATTTAGCTAACAAGTTCACTGAAAAGTATCCTAAGGTAAAAGTATTTTAATTTTAATTTCTATAATTATTTACGTCTTCAGTTTACAAAGACGTTTACTTTAATTGGGTGGACACTTGTCCGTGTATATGGGATTTAAACATTTTGTGGGTCTTTATTTGAGCACGCACACTTGGTTGCTTAATGATTGATGTTGAAAAGCCCCATAAATTGAAAACTTTTAGAAAATGGGCAAGGCATTGTCAAATTATCTGTGACTTGTGTACTGATTTTAATTAATTAATTAAATAAATTAACCAAGGCACACGTTAATTAACATAATATTATGGTTGTAAGACCTGTACTGGGTAAACACAAATGCCATGAAAAACTTACCTCAAAAACATTTTAGCTATTTGACATTGTCTTAGTCCGGATTTAATAATAGTCTACCAATCAAGTGTTAGGAATTGAAAAGAAGCTGGCAGTGTGAAATCTGATGAGGTCTGAAGACAATCTAACTCTGTTGCGACTTTATGTTACTCTGAAAATGGTTTAGTTTTAGGGGACCAATTTCGTCAGAATCTTTGCCAGCCAAACTAATCAAGTTCAATCACTAATTAAGTTATTAAACAAAGGACTTATCCTCAAGAAAAGTAGTCTTAGTTTTAACAATTTGGTATCCATTTGCATTAGCCTATCTGGCAATCAGTGTACAAATTATGAAGTTCAATATACTTCAGCTCTAGGAATTAGTTACCTGGTGGAATAGAGCTGATATCCTAGTTCTGCAGAAATCGGAAGGGGAAATCTGGCAGGTTAGCTAGCTGACATGTTTCTGTCTGTGTCACAGCTGTCTGTGTCACAGCTGTCTGTGTCACAGCTGTCTGTGTCACAGCTGTCTGTGTCACAGCTGTCTGTTTCACACCTGGATAAAATGGATCACTTCGACATTCGTGGACCGACCCGACGAATCACTTAATGGTTCATAACAAGGATAGGATCTGACCTGAACGTTAAAATATGACAGGATCTGGTGTCACACTATAACAGTACGCTACGTCCTGGACTGTAGTGCGAAAGAGGGAGGTCTTGTCAACCTTCAGGTTTCGCACTACAGTACGACTACAGTTGTCCCTAGTTTTTCAGAGTTAATCATCACATATAGACAGCATGAGAGTAGGCCTGGCCATCTCGAAGTGATAATACTTCCTCCGCAAATCTGGGAAGTCATATGAAAAATGGAATAGTGCGGGTTGATTAATTAATTAGCAGAATTATACTCAGAGAATTAGAGGTCGGAAAGTGCAATGATTGTGTCGGATCATTAAAAGATAAATCAATAAATCAAACCGGTCAGTGCTCTCACAGAGAGTCACTCCGTTGATTTATTCATTTATTTTTTATTTTTGGTGGACGTCAGGACCTTTGATTGAACTTGAAAAGATTAATCAATAAATCATACGGTCCAGTGACTCTCATGAGGTCACTCCGTTGATTTTTTCATTTATTTTTTATTTATTGAGAGGACCGTCAGGACATCTAATTGACTTGAAAAGAATAAATCAATTAAATCAAACGGTCCAGTGACTCTCACTGAGAGTACTCCGTTTGATTTATTGATTTATTTTTTATTTATTGAGCGTCTATCAGTCTTAAGATCTCCCAGTAAATTTAAAGATTTACAAAAAATCAGTGATTTCCACTCCCCAAAACTATAGGTTAAAATTGTTAAAAAACTCCTTATCTCCTCGGTCTAGATTCATCAGTCTTTTCCTCTCTGCATATTATGCCATTTTATTATGGCGATTTCTGGTTCTATATAATATGGCGATCTCGGTTTAAAAGTTGTGATTGGAAACCTCTTTAGGTCGAGCTTCTATTATTAGCTGGTAGGGAAGGATATTTTCTATGAATTAATTAGTGTAAAACGATAATTTCACATAAGTTTAAGCAATTAACTGTTATTACTTCGGTCCGAGACTTATTGAACTTGAAAAAGATAAATCAAAAATCAAACGGTCAGTGACTCTCACTGGAGAGTCACTCCGTTTCATTTCATTGATTTATTTTTTATTTATTGAGAGTCTCTCTCCAGTCTTAGATCACCAGTTATTTTGAGATTAACAAGACAAATCTGTTTTTCACTCTCAAAATCTAGGATAACAATTGAAAAAACCATTATCTCTCGGTTTATTATGCCATTTTTATATGCGATTTCTGGTTCTATAAATGGCAATCACGGTAAACAGTTCTGATTGAAACCTTTTTAGGTTGAGCTTCTTATATTATTCTTCTAATATTAGCTGGGGAAAGTTAATTTTATTAATTAATTAGTGTAAAACGAGAATTTCACATTAAGTTGACAATGACATTAAATGTACTTACTTTGGTCCGGCAGACATAGAACTTGAAGTCTGAAAATTATTTATGATTGTTAAAATTAGTATTATATTTAGATACCAACATCGCAAGCAGAAAAATAAAAAAAAATAAACGTTATCGACATTTAAAATAAAATTTTAAAGTTTATTCAAGTTCAAAACAAATTAATCTGATCCATGAGAAAATTTCAAAAAATGTAGCTTCAAAATTTGCGATTGACAAGATAAATCAAACATCAAACAACTAAGAACACACAGCTGGACGATGTATTGTAGACTGACCAGATTACAAACCAAACTGTAAATAACTCAATTATAAGGTCAATGTGAAAATTTAGAATTGAGGCCATGGAATGCTAATGAAGTGTCAACAGTCCCGCAGATAAATACTCTAAACTTATTTGCAATGCTGACTGTTGATGTGGAGGCTAAGTTGACAGTTTTTATGGCTTTTCAACGGCGATGTAAAGAATAACCGTGAATCGTTCAATGCAGTACTGGTCGACAAAGTATTCGAAATTTCCGATAGGTCTGGTACATGACCGAAAAACTGAAACTATGGACAATACCAAATATTTGGCGATTTAACTTTAACGGCGTTGTTGACGCCATTAAGATTTTCATTTGTCATTCTGGCAAAAGGTATTGGTTCAAAATCAAAATGAAAGGAGTTAAAAACTTAATACTTAATAATTAAAAATCTTGTGCCAGCCTAGGCAGTGTTGATAGGAGGGGGAGAAACTGCGAGAAATAGAATTGTCCAAATTATAAATCAAAATTGTTTGTTTACTCTGCTTTAGGGGGTATAAACGACAAGAATTGGTTGACGCAGTATTTGAACGATCTCGAATTGAAAACAGGTTTCCGAATTCCATGATCATGCGGGACCACACTGATAAAATGAAACCCCACAAAACCACATGATTAGTCATCAAACCTAAACTGATGAGCTTCAGGCTAACAATTGACAAACAATCCCATCTGCAGAAACCAATAACAATGCGTTATAACAAACAACAAAACAATACCACGAACAAACTCACTACATGAACAAAAGGTTTCTATATTCTACGGAAATTGATATATTGATAATGTTCGAGTTTTAAGGCGAAAGCATATCGATCAATCGACATCATGAAACTAGGAACTTATATGGGAATGTGGGCTAGAATCGTGACAAAGTTAATATATTATCCTTTCTTCAGAATACACCCGATGATGACAATGGTAAGCAGGAGGCCGTTTAAAAACTGTTACATCTTGGAAAAGGCTTAGTTTTCTTACTCTTTTATGTTTATAATTTACATGACCCATAAAACAACAGAAAACCGTCTGATGAACAAACAATGAAATACTAATGACAATGGTATTGTTTGATTTGATCACATTTAGTGAGGTCAAGAAGCCCAGTCACTGTATTGGGCCACCCTACATTTAATATTTTTAGGATATTTACAAAGCCTTTGACGGACCTCTTCTACCCGTCATTGGCTGACAAAGCCAGGTACCAATATGGTACACGCTGTAGTCCTAAAGTTAGTACACAGATGTGTCTAATGACAAAACTGGAAGCCTCGGTAAAACAATCCAGGTAGGAACAAGATTATTTCGACCAATCAAAAACATTGCATTGTTTACTTGCATGTACGTGAATATACGAGGAATATTGAGTTGGAGGCTCTAAATTCTACTTTCGAATAAAATGAAATGATGATTGTAGGTGAATATGCAGTAGAATGTACGTGAAACATTGTGTTGGAAGCTTTATAAAAAGCCTTACGTCGAGTAAAGGAATTCTGAACTGAGCAAACTTCCGTGCGATTGCAGGTCCAGCGAGCGACGCTTGTTATTAACATTAGTTTACATAGTATGAAACCCTCAACTATATATATAGGTATGCTGAGTTATTCCTGTTGAAAACGTAGAGTAAGTGTTGAAACCTTTGCTACGTTTATTAAGTCTTTGAGTACGGGGTAGTGATCCTCATTGTGGGAATTTCTCAATCGTAATATTGAAACTAGGGGAGGTAAGTCATTCGCAGACAAATGAGTTAAGGGTTAATTCCTGGGTTAAAACTTTGGTTCACTCTATTTGGTCATTTATATTTTGTCATGAGAACATTCAAAGCTGATTTTTGCCTGACAGTTTATTCGATGAAACGCAATAAGTTTGTTTGCCAAAAAATGTGTTTATGTAAAAAAGAATTTCAAAAAATGTCTGCTAGTCGCTTACATGAAATTTGTATAGTCACAATATTTGTTAAATGTAAGTCGTGAAAATATGCATTGCAATTTTCAACTTTATTAAAGTAACACATATATTTACAATATCTCTTGGTAATTATTTGATATCCTTAATAAACATAAGTTTCTTCGAAAATAATAAGGTCTGGAGTCACAATTCTTTATTCATTTTTCCATTACCAAAATATACATAAAATTATAACATATTTCACCGATTGATTAGTTTCAGCTAAGTGAGCTGAGTTTATCTAGACGCGATCCTGGTGTGTGAGCTGTTTACATTGGTTTAACAGGTATCGTGAACAAAGTCTCCATTTTGCAGAATCTTGATGCTATCGTGTTGTGCTTCCTTGAAGGGTTGACCTGAACAATAATAAGTTAGTCGATAGAATTATAATTAGAGAATTTATAGAGATCATACAATGCAATAATTGTGTCAGATCAT